CTGTGGCATCACAGCTCACAGCAACCTCCAACTCCTGGGCTCAAGCGAGTCTCCTGCCTCAGCCTCCCAAGTAGCTGGGACCACAGGCACCCGACACAACGCCTGGCTATTTTTGGTTACAGCCGTCATTGTTGTTTGGCGGGCCCAGACTGGATTCGAACCTGCCACCTTAGGTGTATGAGGCTGGTGCCTTAGCCACTTAAGCCACAGGCACTGAGCCAGGTCATTCTTCTTGATCTTCCGGGTGCATCCTTCTCCCAACACCCAAATGAGAAGGCTCCTGTTTACTTCACCCATTCTATGAACCTGGACCCCTAAATTTTTTATTGCAGATTAACATGAGGGTACACACAATTAGGTTATATTGTTTGCATATGTAAGGTAAAATCCCAGTTGTAGTTGAGTCCTTCACCCAGGAAGTGTACCATATACCTGTACTGAACTCCTAAATGTATTTATCTCGAGTCCACCCAGCCCTTTCCCAGGGTCTGTAATGGAGGAAGAAGTAGTCACAGATGTCTTGGGTGGACCTGTTCTCTCTCTGAGCTTACTCCTCTCCAGCTCCTGCCCTGCTCTTCACAGAACCTAACTTTTAGGAACATGGATGTCTGATCTTGTTACCCCCAAATGCACAATGTCTTAAGTGCTCCCCACTGTCTATGGGACAGTATCTGTGCCCTCAGCCTGGGCCACAGGGCTGACCCTGTCTCCCTCTCCCTCTCACTGCCCCTCCCTTCCCTTCTGTCCTCTCCCAGCTTGTAGGATCCCTGTACATTCCAGAAGAGCCTAGGAGGACACCCACCCTATTGCCCTCTCCTCATGCTGTCCCAGCCCCAGGGTCTTCCCTTACTCAGGCTAAGGGGCATAAAGCTCTGTTTCCCCATTGCTTGCCATCATCTGGTGCCAAGTGGTCCTCAAATGTTTGGTCACAAGTGCTGGGTCACTTGCGAAGGACCTAGATTTCACGGTGCTGGTAGGTACCCAGAGAGGTTGGTGCCAGGTCAGGCTTCAGTAGAGGCTTCTGTTCTCGGTCTACCACCCTCCCATGCCCCTAGGATGCCAGCCTCACCCCAATCCCTTCCTCGCAGGACTGGTTAGGGTTGGACGCTTGGACCACGCAACTCCACCGATTCCAGCCAGGTGGCGCTGCCGGGCAGCTGTTCCAGGCGACAGCTACCTACCGGCGCCTCCAGCTCTGGGCGGGGCTGGGAGCGAGTGGTAGGTGTGGTCCGCTGTGGGGCGGGGCCCTGCGGGCCGCCGGGTGAGACACCCCATTCTCCGCGGCAGGTTTCCTTCTCTCCACCCTCTTCGATCCTGGCCCTCGCTATTTCTCCCCTTCCCTCCCGCTTTCGTCTCTGGGTCTCAGTTGGCTTCCTCTCTCCTTCCGTCGCGCTGGTCCCACCTGCTCGTTTCGAGCTTTAAAGAGACAAGGTGTGTCTGAGGGAGGGAGCCTTCAGGAGGTCCGGTTATGCTCGTGGGGCCATTAACGCCCATGAAGGAGGCAGCGCCTGCCTGGGAAGCTCTTGACCATTAATGGGGCCTCAGACTAGCTGTTCTAACCTCAGACAGGGTCCGGGCCTCTGTCCATGGCCACTTCCCATTCCTGATCGTCTCTGAAGCCTTGTAGGAGGGATGCAGGTTCAATGCCCAGAGGAAAGACCCTTGCTGCAGCTGGAGCCCAAGTGCAATCCCCAACCCAGGTGGACCCTCCAACAGCACAGAGGAGGGAAAGACTGAAGACTGCTCTCCCTCTGTCACAGAGGTGACTCACACTTGGTACCAAGTTGGCAGGGGTGGCCTTAGGGGATGGTGTGGATGGGGGAATCTCCCAGGCCTCCGGTTGCCCCTGACTTGCCCTTTTTTCCTCCTGCACCTGGCCCCATCCACACCGTGCAGCCACCCTCCTCTATTCCATTTTTTTTTTTTTTTTTTTTTTTAGAGACAGAGTGTCACTTTATTGCCCTCAGTCACAGCTCACAGCAACCTCCAACTCCTGAGCTTAGGCAATTCTCTTGCCTTGACCACCTGAGTAGCTGGGGCTACAGGTGCCCACCACAAGGCCCAGCTATTTTTGTTGTTGTTGTTGTTGTTGTTGTTGTTGTTGCAGTTTGACCGGGCCAGGTTTGAACCTGCCACCCTCGGTATATGGGGCCAGCGCTCTACCCACTGAGCCACAGGTGCTGCCCCTCTATCCCTTTTTAATGGCTGGGGCTGGGTTAGAACCTGCCACCTCCGGTATATGGGGCCAGCTCTCTACTCCTTGAGCCACAGGCAGCTTAGAGCTCCAAACGTTTCTCAAGTCCCCACCTCAGAGCCAGGCCTTGGAGAGTTTGTCCATGAGAATACTGGTCACCCTTCCCTACCTGATACTCCAGCCCTCCATATGCACTCTGGCCTCTCTCACTGATCCTGCTACCACCTGAAACTGTTACCTCCGCCTTTATTTTGTTCCTATTACCTACTTTGCTAGGTGCCCACTTCCTTTGCTACCCATCTTTGTTGCCTTTGTTACTCTGTGACCTTTCTTGGTACTCCTTCAGCTTCCTTTTTGTTTTAGGAACTCCTTTGTTACTCTGTAACTGCAGTGTCCTTCACACTACTTCTTTGATTCTTTGCCCCTAGCTGTGACCTCATGTCCCTGGCTACTTTCCTTCCATCAGTGGTGTCTTCAGTCATAGGCAGGAAGATGCAGCTGAATCCCTGGCTGCTGAAGGCTGGCGAGGATCCAAGACTAATGAAGAGAGTACCCTAAAGAGTGGTTGAGGAGTTCTGCAAGTCCCGGATGGAGATCTGCCCCCCTCCCCAATCTGGGGCTTTCTCATCCAGCCACTTCCCTGGACTCTGATCTGGCCACAAAGCTATAGGCTAGGGGGCGGGCACAGTGACTCATGCCTGTAATACTAGCACTCTGAGAGACTGAGGCAGGTGGATTGCCTGAGCTCAGGAGTTCAAGACCAGCCTGAGCAAGAGCAAGACCCTGTCTCTAAAAAAAAAAAAAAAGGTCTAGCATTGTGGTGGGTGCCTTTAGTCCCAGCCAGGCTGAGGCAAGAGAATTGCTTGAGCCCAAGAATTTGAGGTTGCTGTGAGCTATGATGCCATGGCACTCAACCACAGGGTGACTGAGTGAGACTCTGTCTCAAAAAATAAAATAAAATAAAAAAGCTATAGGCTGGCAGCTTTGGGGTGGGCCTAGTTTTTGTGTGATGACCCCTAAGCCCCACCTGGATGTGGTGTGTGGGGTACAGGATTGGCCACACTGTCCACACCCATCCTCAAAGTTTCCAAGGGCAGCAGCACCAGGCTGGGTACAGACAGGCATCCTCTGGACAGTCAGACAGACAGCTAGATGTGACCAGCCAGGCTGAAGCCTATGGCAGCCTCCACCAGGAATTGCAGAGGTGTGGGTGGGAGAGCAGCCATTCAGCCTCAGCCTAAGTGGCTTTTAGGGCTAGCTGCTGGGGTGTGGGCACCCAGGGGAGCCACAGCCCAGGAGGCTGCCCAGAGGCAGGCCCTGCTCTTAGGTGGGGGCTGGGAAGCCCAGGCCAAGGGCATTGGAGAGAGGAGAGGAACAGGGGAGGACTGAGCCAAGCCTGCTTCTCCCATCCACATGGGGAATTGTCTGGGCTGGCAGGGCCTGATCCCTAGGAACCAGGTATGTGCAGGGGGCCTGGCTGGGCTGGGGAGGCGTAGATGGTACCTGGGACTGGGCCATCTTCCTGTATCTGAGAGCAAGAAAGAGCTTCACAGCCAAGAGTATAGACTCCAAATCTCACAGCTCTGGGCCTCTTTCTTCTCCAGACCTCAGCTTCCTGATCTGTAACATGGCCTGGGTGCCCTATGTTCCAGGTAAAATGCACTCAGAGAGGCACCGCAGTGCACAGTGATTCTCCATTGTGATTATTACTGTCCAGCTGGGGAAGAGGGGACACTCATGCTTGAGTAGGTAGGAGGGCTGAGGGCAGGAGAGAAGAGACCTGTAGGTCCTGCTTCATGTGGAATAGCTCCTCAGTGCACTGACCACTGCCCCTACCTTAGTGACCAAAGTCCTCAGGGCAGTTCATTCCAGGTCAGCAAAGACCCTCAGGTTTCAGCCAGACAAGCTCATATCCTTCCCCCAGCCTGTTCCAAGCCAGGGATTGTGAAGTCACAGTCTAGACCTGAGGTAGACTGGGACACAGGTGAGCGGCCCCAGCAAAGGGAGGGAATGGACAGGCACTGCACATAGTCCAAACATTCCCTGAGAAGGACAGGGAGTCACCCAGTCACTGGCCTCCAGGATCCAAGGAGCGGTTGCTTCGTGCCACTTTTAAATCACCGCTTTCCTTCCTGGGACTGCACTGGGCTGGGCAGCTTTGGCTGCAGGAGGGATCCAGATACAGGGACAGCAGAGTGGGAGAAAGCAGGGGGAGTGGAGGGGTGCAGCAGGGCTTCTTGAGGAGGGTGGGGAGGGCTGGGACCGTTGTTCTTACATTGAGGTACCTATGTGGGGTCCCTTGGCCTTGGGACCCTTTCTTCAAACTTTCCCTGACCTCAAGAACCTGCCTCCTTGCCACGCATGGACCCAGTAGGTGTCCAATAAATGTGCCTGGAATAGAAAGCACAGGCGCTGGAGCCAAGGAGGCTGCCCAGAGTAGGGGCGAGGCAGAGGCCTCTTTGCAGAGTCTTTGCAGAGACCCTTTGCAGAGACCAGTGGCAGCGTCTTTGCAGAGACCCCTCAGCCGGCGATCACCCAGGCAGGGGCCGGCTGAGCTGGCTTGGTCCCGGGGCGGGGGCTGCCAGGCGGCGTGGGCGGGGAAAGGGCGGGCGCGGGGGCGGTGCCCCAACCAAGCCCCAGTCTGAGCCCGAGGCGACGCAAGCCGAGCGGGAGCCGGAGGCTGCCGAGGGTCCCTGCGTCGCCGCCTCCGCGCCGCCCCTTTGCCCTGTCTGCGGGTGCCAACCCGCAGCTGGCCGGTGGGCAGCGGGCGCCATGGCCGCGCCAGAGCCGCTGCGGCCGCGCCTGTGCCGCCTGGTGCGCGGCGAGCAGGGCTACGGTTTCCACCTGCACGGCGAGAAGGGCCGTCGTGGGCAGTTCATCCGGCGCGTGGAGCCGGGCTCCCCCGCCGAGGCGGCCGCGCTGCGCGCCGGAGACCGCCTGGTTGAGGTCAACGGCGTCAACGTGGAGGGCGAGACGCACCACCAGGTGGGTGCCTCGCCCCGGCCCTCTCCGGGGAGCGCGTCCCTGTTGGGCCCGGCGGGAGTCGCATCTGGGCCTGCGGCGGGCTCCTAGGGGGCGATGGGACGTGGCCCAGAGCCAGTGGCCGCCAGCCTCCTTCCTAGTCCTCCCACAGGAAGCTCAGTCCTGTCTCGGGGGTGGAGGAGAATTCTGGCAGGGAGGGGCCCGCACTGCGGTTGCCCTGGCCCTGGGCCCTCAATGTGCCACGCGTGAGGGTGTTGGGCAAATTGGAATGTCTCCATGCAGGTGGAGACCTGGGGGCCGTTCTGAGTGCATACATGCGTGCGTGTGCACACTGGGTATAAGTGTGTGGGCAGGTTCCTCTGGAGTCATCTATGTGTGCACACATCTGCCTATGTGTGCCCAGAATGGGGTCACAGTAAAGCATCTGTGCGTGTCTGCATCTGTGTTTGTGCTGGACTGTGTGCATCGAGTGTACAAGGCTGCAGACCTGTGTGTTTATAGGAGGGTAGGATCTGAAATGCTGGATGCAGACAAGTTGAGCTGTGTGTGTGTGTGTTGGCAGTATGCTTATTCAACCCTGTGTGTCTCCATGCCTGCCTGAGTACTCTTCACTGTGTCTCTGGGTCAGGTGTGTCTGGGTCCAGTGGGAGCTGACCACTGGTGGCAGTACATTTCTTAGCTCTTCCTCAGAGGCTACCTAGTGCAGCAGGGGTCACTGCTAAAGTACCTGCCTCCTGCTGTTGGACAGATGGGAGGGCAAGGAAGAGCAGGCTCTCTTCTGAGGGTTAGCTCACCTGAGATCCTGGTTGGGGCCTAGCCTCCCTACACTCCTTTTACTCTGGGTCCTCTGGGTCCCTCACAGCACCAGTGAATCTGTGACCTGTCTGCATGACCAGGTCTGGGGCAGATTCGTTTTTGGCTAGGCTAAGACCTGAACCCCTGTTCTACACTGGGGGCCTTACTTGTTCTTCTGTCTGCCATTCTTCTGTCTTTTACCCAGACTGTTGATTGGATAGGGCTGTTTGCTGAAGAAGGGTAGGCGTCAGGACTAGAGGCTATGGCCTGGCAGGCTGTGCCAAGGGCTGGCATAGTTGGTGCCCAGCCTCTGTTTAAGAGTCTCTGTCCCCCTTGCCCTAATAGCACCTGTGTAAGGCTGCACCTGTGGCTCAGTGGGTAGGGCGTCGGCCCCATATACCAAGGGTAGCGGGTTCAAACCTGGCTCCCGCCAAATTGCAACAAAAAATAGCCAGGCATTGTGGTGGGTGCCTATAGTCTCAGCTACTCAGGAGGCTGAGGCAAGAGAATCACCTAAGCCCAAGAGTTGGAGGTTGCTGTGAGCTGTGTGACACCATGGCACTTTACCAAGTGAGACTCTGTCTCTACAAAATAATAATAGTAATAATAATAATAATAATAATGCCTGTGTATCCAAGGCCCCTGGGTAGTCATCTCTGAGAGCTTCACACACAGAACCATGTCAGACCCTCCCCTCTATCCCAGGAAAGTAGGAGTACAATTGCAACCCCTATTTTACAGATGAATAAAGTGATACTCAGAGATTTGGGGGGACTTGTCTGGGTCACATAGGAAGCAGGGTGCTAGGTTCCTCCTGGCTGCCCTTCTCTGGATCATGGAGAGAGAGGAGGAACAGAGGAGGGCTGTGTGAAGATGGGCCTATTTCAGACTCCTGTGTGTTGACACCTGCTGAGCCCAGCAGCTGGTGGGAGTCCCGTCCACCCTTCCTTCCCTGATGCCGAATGGTACTATTCCTCTCCCTGTGAGGATGCTGGCCTCTTGCCTGCTCCAGATAGTTCTTAGGCACCTGCACAGACACACAGATGGCCATCATGCTGCAGCTGTGCCATAGGTGGACATCCTCCTTCACCTCACTGGCTGGATCTGAATGCTGCTTCTGGGGCTGGGGTTTAGACTCCCACACTGCACCACCAAGAAAGACCCAGAAAGACACACCTCACCCTCAAACCCAGACTGAGAGACAGACTCCCGAACAGATGGATGCATGTGAGCAAATGCGCACACACATGCAGATGCACATGCAGTCCGAAAGCCTGCAGTTTAGCCATGCACCATCTTCATTATTTTCAGGCAGACTGACTCATCTAGCTGGCTGCAATCCTTTCCCTGGCCCTCCTGGAGAAGACCTTGGGCTGAGGGCAAGGCCTTGGGAGGACCCCGAAGCCTGTGCTGCCTGGGCCCCAGTGTTAGAAGCCTGGAGCAGAGGGAGGGAACACTGGAGCTGGGGGCAAGGGGCGGGGCCAGCAAGCCTTTCAGTCCAGCCGCCCACCTTGCAGTCTAGCTGCCTGCCTGTGCCCAGGCCAGCCCAGAGTGGTGCCACTGCCCATGGGCTACCCAGGGTGTCAGCCTCTGACCTGCTCTCGCCCCCTGCCCTTGCTCCTCCCAGGTGGTGCAGAGGATCAGGGCTGTGGAGGGGCAGACGCAGCTGCTGGTGGTGGATAAGGAAACTGATGAGGAGCTGCACCGGCGGCAGCTGACCTGCACTGAGGAGATGGCCCAGCGGGGGCTCCCGCCTATGCATGACCCCTGGGAGCCCAAGTCGGACTGGGCACGTGTGGTCAGCGTTGGCTCTGATGCTGGCAAGAAGGTATGGCGGGCTCCACCCACAGGGACCACCAAGCCCCTCTGAGAGACACTGTCTCAGTCTCCTGACAACCGTCTTTGCCTCTGGTCACCTCCAGAAGTCCCTGTCTTTTCTGCCTCTTGGGCTCCCTTCTCTGCCCCAGCAACTACCATCTGTGTCCCTGATGACTGCCCTTTTGGCCACTGGAGGCCATGCTTTCCTCCCTCACTTCTAAACCAGTGGGGACAGAACAGCCTGGCCTGTCCTCTTATCTGGGACACTCAAAGGCCACCTGGCCTAGGGAGGGGTCATTCCAACAGGCCATATTCCCCTCCTCCTGCCCGGTGAGTGAGGAACACTGGCCAGAGTTGCTAGGACATTCCAGGTCTGGGTATGCCCAGCCTTGTGCATGTCTGTCTGTCTGGGGAGTCTGAAAGTGCTGTGAAGGCTGTGGATAGGGCTGGCCACTATAGGCAGCAGCATTGGGGCTGAGGACGGGACACTCTGTGCTGGACCCAGCATGGGGGGTAGGGTGGGGGTGGCGTGGGCTGGGCTGGGCTAGGTCAGCTATGTGCTGGCCTCTGCAGCCTATTACCCCTCTTGCTGCTGGGTCCTGGCAGCCCTCACAGGAGCTTCTGAGGTGGGCCCAACAAATACCTCCCTTTGTTGTTCCTCCTGGGCCCCTGCTGGGTAGCACCTTTCTCTTACTTCCAACTCCTCCACCCCAGGCCAGGAGACCTGGAATAGAACAGGGAAGGGCCTGTTCCGTGTCTTTCTAGGTAGCCAGGCCTGGGAGGCAATGTACCTCAAGGCTACAAGGAAAAGCCTGAGGCTGTTGGTTTTGCCTTCTTGAAAGCCCTGATATTATTGTCACTCACGCCCTCTGCCCTTTTCTTCTTTTTTAAAAAAGTCCTTTAGAGGATTTGCATTCAGTGGCATGAGTGGTGGTGGTGTCAGATCTAAAGCAGGGGATCTTGACTCTTCCATTTCCCTTTCTCATGTTTCCCCTTTGAGTTGACTGTACCTGTGAAATGAGCCTCATGGGGCCTGTTTTAGTGGGGACACACCATTCCTGGTGGGAAACCCAGCCTGGGAATTGGAACCTATGGGACACTTTTTGTTCCCTGGGACTCAGGGGCAGGACATGAGAGTAGTGAGGGCTGTTCCCTTGGACTAGAGGCTGGCTGGCACTATGGGAGGCACAGGGTCCCAGGTCCCCTTCCCCCAGGCTAAGGTAGGAGCTCCCCCTTTCCCAGGTACCCAGTCCCGCTCCCAGGAGGAAGCCCCCCTCCCTCAGGCATTTGTCCATTGATTTAGACACAAATGGCCGAGTTCACCTTCCGGTGGAAAAATCCACCCTCTGGCCTTGTCTGGAGGGTGGGGTGGTTGAGGCATCTTGGGTGGGACCTTCCCACTCTCTGCTATTTCAGGCTCTGGGGGGCTGCAGGAAGCCCCTAGGAGGGGCTTGCTTCCTCTGGGCGTATTTTTAGAGGAACAAAGAGGGGCCCGGCTGGCAGGTCCCTTTGTGGACAAGGCCAGCCTGGAGACAGGGACTCCAGGAGGTCAGGGAGCTCTGAGGGACAGGGTCTCTCCCTCTCTTGGCCAGACACCTGATGTTTCATTAACTAAGTTCATAGCAGCAGAAGGGAAACTGGGCCTCATCTGACCCTCACAAACCAGGCTCACCACCACCCATCTGAGGCAGCCTGTGGGTACGGGAGGCACTGCTTACCCTCCAGGTGTGCTGTGACAAGGTGTTGGTGGCCAAGGAGCGGAAGCCTGATGTGTGTGGTTTTGCTTTGGTGTGAGATAGAGAGCTGGGGACCCCATGAGTGTAAGGGCCACTCTCGCCCCTCTGTCCAAGCTGGGGACAGGGAGGTAGGGCAGGGGAGGACATTGATGTGGTCATTCCTCCATTTGGGGGCCATAAAGGCCAAGTCAGTGGTGACTCAGCCCCGGCTGCACCAGGCTGGGGGTGGCTGCAGCTGTATGCAGCTAATGCTAGCAGTGATGCCAAGAAGCTAGTGGTGCCAGGACCATGGGGTGGTGACAGACCCTGGGTGCTCTTGCCTCTTTGCCCCCTACCTGTGCCCTCACCCCCATCTGGAGGGTGGGCCTTGGGGGCTGAGGGTGAATGAGGGGTGACAGGGTCTGCAGGAGGTAAGTATGCAGCATAGAACATGGTGTTCCTATGAGCTATAGCAGGATGGTCTTATGCTCTGAGGCTGGGGTCCCCTCCCTTGCCTCCTGTCTCCCCACCCCTTAGTCTTAGAGCAGGGCAGGGCCTTCTATCAGCTTCCTTCCTTCCTTTCTTGGGACGGAAACTTAGCTGCATTGGGGACGCCAGGCTGGAGCCTCCACAGGGGAGTGGGCTCAGTCACTATCCTGCTCCCCAAAGTGACTCAGTGCCCATGTCCCCACCCATCCCCAGGGAGCCTGAGCCACAGTAGGAGGTAGATAAGTGGGGTGGCAGCTTAGGCTGGCCAGAGAACTCAGGCCATCCCAGCTGGACACCTGCTGCCCCTGTCATGGCCCGCTCCAGGAATGCCATGCCGCCTGCCCCGACCCCAGGAGCCCCTCCACAGAGCCTCCCCCAGGGGCTTGTGCAGGTCAGGTGGAGCAGGGTAGGGGTGTGGGCCTAGAAGTGGGTTTAGCCCTCTAGGGTATGGAGAAGGGACTTGAGGACCTTGATGTGAACAGGCTGGACCCCAAGCAACAATGAAGTCCTTTTTCTACCAGGGCTGGTGAGTCACCATCTGGGGGGGAGCCCTATGCCTGCCTCTTTGTCTGGTCACAGGCATGGCTGGGGGACAGGGCTTGCCCAGCTCTGCTGCTGTGGGGCTGCCCAGCGGGGAGCCCATGGGAGCCAGAAGGCCTGGCAGGACGCAGCAGGAAGTGTGCACTGAGCCAGGGCAAGGAGGAGGAATGTGAGCAATGCATCCCTCCCGCCACTCATCACAGCTCTCTGGACTTTTCTGCTGCCCCCTAGTACCTCCCACCCTGCTCATGGGCTGCCAGCACCCTTCTGCCCCTTTGCATTGCAGCCCCTCCACTTGAGGGCCTGGCATTAAGTTCTGGTATCCTCTGGCCCCTGCTCTAAAAACAGGGGCATAGGCTAGATGTTCAGAGGAAGCTCTCAGCTTGTACAGTGGGAGAGTAAGACTTGGTCATTTTGGATTGAGGTATAGGGCGAGCCAGAAGGACCCAGAGAACACAGGTGGAGTTTCAGCCTGCCCTTGTGGCTCCAGATTCATGCCAGATCCTGCTTCCTATTTGGGGACCTAGAAATACACTGCCCTGCAGGCCGGGGAAGCATCTCTAGGGACAGCACTATGGGGCCACTCCTCCATATGTGTGAGTGACTATAGTCCAAGTAATGTGTTCATGACATGTTTGGATGTCTTATCTCTGTGACTACATAATATGCACTGCAACCTGGGCCAGGGCCTGAGCCAGGGGAGGCCATGCCACATAGTTACCTCTGTCTCTGTGTTCCTCTCTGCTTCTTCACTCCTCCCAAGCAACTTTTGTGCACTGAAGCCCTGGAGATCTGGGGGTCTAGCACCCTCACCTGCCTAGCTGAGTCCCTGCAGTTCTTGAGCAGCAGGAGACCTCCAGGCTAGGTGTCTGGCCAGGCTAAACAGGAAGAGGGTGCTCCACCCTGCTTTGTGGAGGAAGACACCCTTGCTACCATGGCTGGGCAGCTGCCCACTGACACTGGCCATTCCCAGTCTGATTTGGGGTTTGGAGTGAGCTTGAAGGCCAGGAGTGGTCAGAATTGGTCCAGGCTGCAGGGTGGCATGTGCCCAAGGCCTAGAGACCTTCCCTGAGATCTGAAAGACTCTCCTATGGTGTCATCCCAGCCCTAGCCTGGCCCATAGTCCTTTAGGACATGCAGGGAGGTAGCCCACAATTTCCCCTGCTCACACCCTCAAGCACTGAGCACTCCCAGGAAACCTGAGCTGCCATCTAACCGCTCACTCTGGCCACCGCCATGTTTAATTGAGCGCCAGCAGCCGCTGGCCATCTACCACTGCAGTCACTGCCTGGCCCTGGCTGGGTGGGGGTCACTGGGCCTGGTGCCTTGCTCCACAGCTCCCAGGTCCAGAGCCCTACGGCAGGATGCCAGAGGTAAAGTGAGGCAGGCCCCTGGGGTGGGGGTGGGGCCCACAGGGCACCAGGAGGCCGTCTGTGCCCAGGCTGGATTGAGCAGGGAGGCCTCAGCCTTCTCCCTGGCCTTCCGCCCCAGCTCCTTCTTTCTAGGCCTGTGGGGGTGGGGCAGCTCCATTTTTTTGCTGGAATGTGAAAGCAAACACAGCCGCCACCGCAGCTAACCTCACAGAGGCTTTTGGAGAGAAAACAAAACTGCCCAGCCTGGGAACAACCAGCCTGAGATTGAGCTTTGGGAGGGGGCACAGGCAGGGCCCTGGGGCCAGCCATCCCATCCTGGGGACTGATGGGAGGCAGCACATCCCACTTGGCCTCTTCCTACAACCCGGCCTGCATGCAGCCCTGCCCTTGAGCCAAGTGAACCCTCCCTGCCACCCTGTAAGGCAGCTGGTCCCAGTAGATGTTTTCAGGTTTAGAAACAGGCTTTGCTCAGGATCCCACAGTGGGGCTTAGGCATGGGCAGCCCTCCCCAGGGGCCAGTACCATGTTGTCACAGAGATCTGGGACCTGCCCTGGGGGTAAGATGCTGAGTTTGGGGCAGTGGCTCCTTGATGGTGCCTCTGGGGTTGGGAGGCTGGAGCCCAAGCCTGAGCCCAGTCCTGTGTGCCTACAGGATGTCAATGGCCCCCCACAGGAGCTACGCCCTAGGCTCTGCCATCTGCGAAAGGGACCTCAGGGCTATGGGTTCAACCTGCACAGTGACAAGTCCCGGCCTGGCCAATACATACGCTCTGTGGACCCAGGCTCACCTGCTGCCCATTCTGGCCTCCGTGCTCAGGACCGACTCATTGAGGTACCCTGGCCACTGAGGCTTCAGGGGTGTGTGCTCACGCTCCCTTGTACATGTGTGTTTATCTGTGTCTGGGCCCTGGGTCCTTGCTGGGAGGAGGGGAAACACTGGGAACCTGAGCTGGCACTCCTCTTGCTGCCTTGGCTGGTGGTAGCTTTGATGAATATTTGATGCCACACCTGGCCAGGTGGTATGAGGGGCTGGCTGGGCCCTTGGGCAGTGCTGACCCCTTGTTGGTGGTGGCAGGTGAATGGGCAGAATGTAGAGGGGCTACGCCATGCTGAGGTTGTTGCCAGCATCAAAGCACAGGAGGACGAGGCCCGGCTGCTGGTGGTAGACCCTGAGACGGACAAGCATTTCAAGCGGCTTCGGGTCACACCCACCTCAGAGCATGTGGAAGGTGGGCATGGCCCCAGGGGCACAGGGCTGGGTGCTGTGGGGGTCCTTACCTGCCACTGACACAGTGTCCCCACAGGTCCACTGCCGTCACTAGTCACCAATGGGACCAGCCCTGCCCAGGTGAGAGGGTGGGCCCAGGAGACCTTGGGGGCACATCTGGGGGTCTCCAGTCCTGTTGGAGGCTCCCTTTACCCCTGGAAACCCCTGTCCTTGAGTAGGTGCAGATGTGACCCAGAAAAACCCCAGCTTTTCTCTCCATTGTGGATCCTAACTTGGGTCAGCACAGACTACATGGGGTCAAAGCTGCAACCCACTGTTCCCCTCCAGGCTCTGCATCCTTAGAGAGCCCTGGCCTCATCCTGGGCATTGCTCACATGGGCACTTCCTTCACCCAAGCTGCCCCACTGTGCTGTGAGCTGGCCATGGCCAAAGCCACCTGTCTGGTCACTGCTTGGTGCCCAGCACCCTGCCCAGCTAGACCCAGAGCACGCTAGAGATGTCCTGCCTGTCACTGAGAGGAGGATCACATACTGCTAAGCAGTATGCGCACACATGCATGTGTGCGCGCGTGTGTACAAATGTATCTGTGCAGCAGTGGTTCCCTGGGTGAGGATCCTGAAGCCACAACTTGCCCTTGGTTTCCCAGTTCAACGGTGGCTCAGCGTGCTCATCCCGAAGTGACCTGCCTGGCTCGGACAAGGATGCCGAGGTACCTGGGTGCCTTCCCCTCCGCTGCTGTGCTCACACACAAGGGTGCCAGAGGCCTTGGGGTCAGTGTTTGAGAGGACATCAGCCTGTGTGGTGGGGCCACCACCACGAAGCCCTCCTGGGCCCAGTGCACAGCCCCACCAGGTGGCCTCCGGTGCAGGTTCTCTGCAAGGGCCACCTTCTGGAGTGTGCTTCTAGGGCTCATTCTTGGCACCCCATCTACTTTGCCCATCCTCAGGATGGCAGTACCTGGAAGCGAGACCCATTCCAGGAGAGCGGTCTTCACCTGAGCCCTACAGCAGCCGAGGCCAAGGAGAAGGCTCGAGCCACACGCATCAACAAGCGGGCGCCACAGATGGACTGGAACCGCAAGCGTGAGATCTTCAGCAACTTCTGAGTCCTTCCTGGTTGTTCACTGGGCCCCACCCAGAGCCCCCTAAGCCTCACTGGGCTGGAGGGTGGTCCTACCACCTCCCAGAAACCAACCCGTGCCCCAGTAAGCCCTCGTCCTGCCCCTGCCTGCTGGGTGCTGGGGGCCTGTTGCAGCAAGATGGGGAGAGATAGAAAGAAAGATAGGAAGAGGGAGGGAGAGATAGAAGGAGAGAGAGAGGAAGAGGGAGGGAAGAAGAGTGAGGAAGAGGGAGGGAAGGAGAGAGGCAGAGGGAGGCAGAGAGAGGGGTGTGGGGGTGGGCAGAGTGGTGACCTGTGGGTTGAGAGCCTCTACTGCTCTGCCCCAGGTCTGCTAACTGAAAGGAATTTATTTTTGTTTTTTTTTTTTCCAAAAAAATCTCTAGCTCCACACATGTTTCTACTTAATAACAGAGTCCTCCTCCCCCGCCCCCTTTGGGACACTCTCTCTAAATAATCGCAATAAAACAAACCCTTCTCTGCAAACCATTTCCTGCCCCAGCCCTGGCAGCAGTTATCCTGAATGGGAGTCAGAGACTTCCAGGGGACTGAGTGAGCTAGGGCTCCTGCATGGCTCCTGAGGATTTTGGGGTAAGGCCAGGGAGGCAGAATGTGGCTTCAGGAACTCCCCTGCCCTCCCTGATGTGGCTAGCCCCCCAGCTACCCCATGCTGCCTCTCTGCAGGGAACCGGTGGCCCAGGGTTGAGGGGCTGAGGATGGAGGTCCCATGCCTCCAAGAAGGGCAGCCTCTGGACAGGTCCCTTGTTCTGCAGGGCAACTCTTGGCCTGGGGAGCGTGGGTTTGCAAGGGCTGGCCTCCAGGTAGGCCCCTAGAAGCCTGGGCTCAGCCCCTGGCTGGCAGCTGCCTGGCATCCCCCTAGCCCCACCCCATGGTCACTCTGTTGACTGTCCTTTCCTCCTGTGCCCTGAATTCCTGAACCCACTGACCGGCACTGCTGTCTGCCTTGTAAGCCATAGCGCATGCGCGCCCTCAAAATAAATAGGCCTTGCCGCCAACTTTGGTGCCTCTGTCTTTTCTAAGCCTTCAGTCAGGAGATGGAGCAGTGGAGCAGAGCAATGAGGCCCATTCTGGGGGAGCCCAAGGCATGAGGCCATAGCAAGCAGCCCCCTCCTGCCTTTAGCTGCTAGAAAGCAGCCTCATCCTGAAGTCCCCTCCCCCTACCTGACATCCATCTGCTCTCAGGCTGCCCTCCCCCCAGCCCACCTGGACCCTCGCACCTCCAAGACCTGCCCTCTCCCACCCTCTGGGGTGCATTATGGGGCCCCTGCCACCTCCTCTGCTTGGCAAAGCTCACCCTCCCACTTTCACTATCCCTATAAAGCCACCTGGGCCCTGACACCCCATGGACTGCTCTCTGCCCATTGTAGCCCCCACCACCTCTAGCAGGTACACATAGGTCAAGCCTGTGTCCTGTAGTGCCCTACCAGGATCTGTAAGTGTCCCTTTTGAGGCCAGATGGCTCTGTAAGCAAAGGGGTGGGGCTCTCAGGGTACACAAGGGAAGGTGCCATTGGTGCCTGGGATGAGAGAGCTCCTGGGCAGGCAGCCTCCTGTGTTGGACAGGGCAAGGGGCAGGTGTCCCCAGCCAGCTCCCAAGGAGGTGCTCCCAGCAGCTGACCATAGCTGGTTCCCACCATTTCCTCCCCCAGGGTCACGCATGTCCTTGTTCCCCTTTCTCCCAAGTGCACAGCCCAGATGGTCATGTCCAGGTCCTGGCCTCCCAGGCAGCCCTGATCCAAATGCATGACAGCATGGGTGCACATACACTCCTACATAGGCACATGTTCCCTAGCCCACCCCTGCCCTCAGGGACAGAAGTCAGTCTTACCCCAACTGCAAATGACCCCAAAGGTTTACTCAACAAGCTATGGCTCCCAAGCAAAGGCACTTCACAGATGGTGGCCAGCATACCCAGGCTGGAGCCTTCAGAGACCCTGGGCAGCTGGGCACAGGGCATAGTTGAGGCAGGTCGGGCAGCGAGGGTGTAGGGGCAAACAGGTCTGCTGTCCGAAGCCCACCAGGAGCCCGTTGATCTCACTCCACAGCTCCCTGTGGGGTGGGGCTGGCTCAGTGGTGAGGGAAGGAGGGGACTGCCTCCATCCTGCCCCCCAGCAATCCAACCCCATCACACACCTGGGCAGCCACTCCTCCAGGGCTCCTCGGGTCTCCTCTGGGGACTTGGTTGCCTTCTTGGTCCACCCAAGTCTATTGGCGATTCTGTGCACGTGTGTGTCCACTGCTGCTTGGATGAAAACAGGGTGGGGTGAATGGAGTGTGCATACTCCCCCAGTCAAACCCTGCCCCAAGCCAGCGTTCCCATCTCCCCACCCCCAGGACTCTGAACTGGGACAGGAAATCAACTTGGCCTGGGCCACAGGCTGAGGGTGGCTGCTTTGCTACCCCCAAGGAACCAGGACCTCTCGTCTGGTGGGCAGGGCTGGAGCCCTCTACTGGGGTGTAGACAGCCTCCTTTGGGTCTTCCTCCCCCCTATCCTGGCAAGCCTGGCCAGGGAGGGGGTCTCTACTCTAGGCTGGCCCATTCCCACCAATCTTGGTGCCACCTGGTATGATGTAGTGGAGGGATCAGTGTCTCTGCTCTGCTTTGAGCTCTACTTCCTTCACCTATAGTGACAGCTAACTCAGGTCAAGTGCTTGCTGGAGGCAGACCCAGCATGGAGAGATCTACCAGCCTTGACTGATTGAATCCTTATAAGGCACCTATAGATAAAGGAATTAAGGCCCAGTACAATTCGTTCTCCTAGAGATGGGATCTTGCTCTGCTGCTCAGGCTGGAATGCAGTGGCCTGAGCAGTGGTTACAGCTCATTGCAGCCTCGAACTCCCGGGCTCAAGCAATCTTCTTGCCTTAGCCCCTAGGATCACAGGCACATGCCAGTGCTGGCCCAGAACTCTGGCTGGGAAGCATGTGCTCCCGCCCTCAGCCTCCCTAGGAGCTGGCCTAGGAAGGGCCTAGGCCTTGCTTCCTTCTGCTCTGTCTCCTATGGTCCCAAGCTCCTCCAGGTTTAGGCACTGGTTGTGGGCACTGGGTGGGGTGGCAATAGCTTGGGCTAGCAGGCTGGCAGGTCACCTGCCACCACAGCGGTCAGGGACACGGCAGGGAGTGTGGCCTGGTCAGCTGCAACTGATGTGCACTTGGGCTTTGGCCCCTGGTCTCACTGGCCATCCCAGAGGCTCAGCTGGAGTGCCTGCTCACCAAGGCCTCCTCCAGCCCAGCTGTCCCAGCCAGCTGCAGTCCCAACCCTGCCTCCTCCTCCAGAGTTTGCCAAAGAGAAAGCCCAACCCTGCATCAGCTCCTTTGCCCTGCTACCTGCCTTAGGAAAGCACTCTCGGGGGCCAGGTACAGTGGCTCATGCCTGTAATCCTAGCACTCTGGGAGGCCAAGGCAGGTGGATTGCCTGAGCTCACAGGTTTGAGACCGGCCTAAGCCAGAGTAAGACCCTGCCTCTAAAAATAGCAGGGCGTTGTGGTGGGTGCCTGTAGTACCAGTTACTTGGAAAGCTGAGGCAAGAGAATCACTTGAGGCTCAGCGCCTGTGGCTTAAGCGGCTAAGGTGCCAGTCACACACATCTGAGCTGGTGGGTTCGAATCCAGCCCCGGCCCACCAAACAATGATAGCTGCAACCAAAAAAAAAAAAATAGCCGAGTGTGGTGGCTACTTGGGAAGTGGAGACAGGAGACTTGCTTGAGCCCAGGAGTTGGAGGTTGCTGTAAGCTGTGATGCCACAGCACTTTACCCAGGGTGACAGCTTGAGGCTCTGCCTCAAAAAAAAGAATCACTTGAAACCAAGAGTTAACAGACTGCTATGAGCTATGATGCCACAGCACTCTACCAAGAGTGACAAGGTGAGACTCTGTCTCAAAAAAAGAGAGAAAAGAGCACTCTTGGGGCGGGGGTGGAGACCACAAAGGCTGAAGGGTCACATCCTTGGGCCCTGAGTCTCAGTTTCTTCTTCTATAACATGAAGGTGACTGGGCTGAGGCTGGGCACATAGTGTTGTGTAAGTCTCCTGTGCTGGCCAGAAGGGTGTCCCACACATGTATTGTACAGTTAATGAGGGTCCTGCTTTTCTACTTTGTGGGAGCCAGAAGCTCAAAGAGGCCAGTGCCTTGCCCAAAGTCACCCAGCTGAGAGGTGCAGAGCTGGCTCTTCCTCCTGGCTCTGACTTTTTTCTTTTGAGACAGAGTCTTAAGCTGTTGCATTGGGTAGAGTGCTGTGGTATCATCATAGCTCACAGCAACCTCCAACTCTTGGTGCTCAAGCTATCCCCTTGCCTCAGTTTTTTCAAGCTGGTCTTGAATTCGTGAGCTCAAGCAATCCACCTGCCTTGGTCTCCCAGAGTGCTACGATTATAGGAGTGAGCCACTGTGCCCAGCCTTTCTCTCTCTCTTTTTTTTTTAGAGATGGTCTTGGAGGCAGTGCCTGTGGCTCAAAGGAGTAGGGCGCCAGCTCCATATGCTAGAGGTGTCAGGTTCAAACCCAGCCCAGCCCAAAACTGCAAAAACTGCAAAAAAAAGAAATGGTCTTGGCTCAGAACCTGTAGCACAGTGGTTACGGCACCAGCCACATACACCAATGCTGGCAGGTTCGAACCCAGC